CTGAGGCAGACCGTGGTTAAGTGATTTGCCCAGAACTGCATAGCTAGTAAGTATCTGAGGCTGGATTTGAACTCAGATCTTCCTGACTCCTGGCCCAGTGCTCTATCCACTGTGCTGCCTAGCTCCTTGAAAGCAGGGACAATGTTTTGCCTTTATATTCCCAGCACTTAGCACAGTGCCTAGCCCATAGTAGGTACTTCATAAATGCCTATTGATCTATTGACTATTGGAAGAAACTAGTTATGCAACCACTTTACTTTGTGATAACTGGCTTCCACTGCTTGGATTTGATGACTGAGGCCTGGAATTTATTAATAAGTGTAAAATGAAGGGATTGGAATGGATGATTTTTACAATCTCTTCAAATTCTAACTCCTATGATCCTATTATGTGTGGTTGGGTCTTCCAGCCAAAGGGCCTTTTCTGACATTTTTGTCAAACATCTTCCCTACAGCCACCAAAGGGATTTTTTCAAAGGGCAGGTCTGATCATTTCTTGCCCTCTCCTCCCTCCACTCAATAAATTACCTATTACCTCTAGAATCACATATAAACTCAGTTTGGTATTCTAATCTCTTCACTACCTGGTCTCTTCCTATCTTTCCAGTCTTCTTACATATTACTCCCACACTAAACTCCATCTCCATTCCCTGGGCCTTTTGCATTGGCTGTCTCCCAAGCATGGAGTGCATTCCATCCTCCCCTTTGCCTCTCAGAAACCTTGCTTTCCTTCAAGATTCCAATCAATTATCACTTTCTACATGAAGCCTTTACTTTTCCAAATTATCTTGTATTATTTTGTATACATATATATGCACACATTATCTCTCCCATTAGAATATAAGGTTTTTGTGGGTAGGAACTTTTGTCTTTGTATCCCTAACAATTAAGCACAGAACCTAGCATATACAAAACACTAAATAAATGCTTGTTGATTGACTGATAAAGTCAGGGAAATGGATCCAGTTTCCAAATTTCATGTGATTAAGTAATACTTTGGCACTGGATTTTCTTTCTTTTACTAAAAAAATGCTTCCTAGAAATGGTCACCTTTTTGTTTTCTTTTTTTAACTGGGCCTGTGATTTCATTGTAGGAGTGAGCCCCAATTAATTGGTACCTTCTCCAAAATTTATAGTCTTAGGAGTTTCCCAGGGTACTGAGAGGTCAGGTAACTAGCCTAAGGTCTCCCTGGAAGTATTACACCTGAACCCACATCTTCCTTATTTTGAGACCAGTTCTTTAAACATAGGAACAATTTCAGGAACCACAGCCCCTAGCATATAGTTGTGATGTATTTAAATGAAAGATTTTTGTAAGAAAAAAATGTTCGATTTGCCATTTTACAAATTGGGTAAAGTCCTTATCTGTTCACAACCCTTTCTGGTTTATCTGTCTCACAAGAAGCAACCAGGTACCACACTAGTTAATTGAATTCAGCAAGCATTTAATAAGCTCCTTCTATGTGCAAGGCATTATTCTAGACACCTGGGATACTCAAATCTATCTGTGCATGAATTTGGGAGTTCCTTTCAACAATATAAATTGCATTCAATCCATATCTGCCCATTCTGTGCTAACCTTGTCCATATTCTCCCATAATTTCACCACAGTGGGTTCACCTGCCAGAGGCCTTTCTCACTTTCTCCTGACACAGTTAGGTGGTCCAGTGGATAAAGCACTGGACTTAGAATCAGGAAGACCTGAGTTCAAATCCAGCCATGGATACTTACTAGTTTTGTGACCCTGGGCAAGTCACTTAAGTTCTGCCTGCCTCAGTTTCCTTAACTGTAAATGGGGATAATAACAGCATCTACCTCCCAGGGTTGTTGTGAAGATCAAATGAGATTTGTCAAGTGTTTAGTTCAGGGTCCAGCACATAGTAGGTGCTTTAAAAAATGATTGTTCCCTTCTCCTCCCCTGACATGGTGAAGGTACTAGTGGCACACCATGGATCCATCTGTCATCCTTCATCCTCACCAAATGACTAACACATCTTCTCTTGATGACATTTTTTACTTCTATTCTTATTTGAACCACATTGGTTATATTTTGCAGCCTGCTCAACCCATTGCCCCTTTCCATTGCTTTCTGTGACATTCATTTTTAATTCTTCACAGACTGCTATATTCCATGTTTCCCTGCTACACAGCAACAGCAGTAGAATGTTGAGATTAAAAGGACTGATCTTTGTTTCCTTGGGAAACTTAGGCTCATTAAAAAAGTTTTGCAATTTCCTGAAAGCAATGGAGTCCATTCTTTTTCTCTGATTCATCTCTGTGCCAAACTCACTGTCCATCCATATTGTCTGATGGATGAGCTCTATGCATTGTCCATCTAAATGCCTATCATAATAAAGAACAATAGACTTTCTTCATCTGCTTTGTTTTTCCTCTGTGGAGAGTCAAACCACACTATTTTGAATGATTACAGGTCTTTTCCCCCCCAGGAAGGTTCTGTAATGTTTGAGGGCTTAATGCAACCAGCACAATGTCATCTGCAAACAGAAGTATAAATGGGAGTTACCTTGTTGAAAATGGCTCCGTTAAGGTGGTGCTTTGCTCTCCCAAGTTAAATGGTTTTTTTTTTTAAATAATCAACAAACAATAAGTATAATATTGTCTACATCTTTCAGGTGATTGAGAAATGGTAAAGAAGGGCCACCACTTCATGAGAAAATAGGGCAAAGAAAGAGAAAGTAGAAGATTATGAAGAGGTGTTTTAAGTTGTGGAATAGGGGAGAAGGGTAAGTAATGCTTTACAGATGGCTTTATTTTCTGACTTATGAGGCAAGAACCTTTGACAATAGGAAGCAGGAAAAGAAATGCTGTAGAAAGTTTGGAATAGCCACTGATATGATAGAGAATCAATCAGGAAATAAAAGGATTGCTATGATGCCCCAGTTGGGAGTAGATAATGTAAATTTTCAGTGCAATCAGTTAGCATGATTTTGTAACTTCTCTCCATTAGTGTTCAGCAGCACTTGGGTAGAAGGGGAAAATGAGGTTGGTAGGTATAAATAGCATCTGGCATTTATCAATGTCAAAAGGACAAGGGGTGGGGGAAGGAATTCCAGGATAAAAGATATTGCATAGTTGAAATGGTCAAATATGAAATTAAGAATTTAAGGGGAAGGAAATGAGGTTACTTCCCTCCAGCAAGATTGATGGACAAGGAAACCAGGAAAGGTGGATGACCTGGAGAATATGGTGAGGATGAAGAATAGATTTAAGAAAACTGACAGAAGCAAAGAAATAGATGAAAAGATAGAAGCTTTTGACCAGAATAAGAATTTTGGGGTGGAGGGAAAGACTATGAGCCAGTTACTGAACTGGAGGATGACAGATTATTTTGATAAGCTATAGATCACTTGATATAAATGGATGCAGTTCACTTCAAATGAAGAGAGGCTGCTAAGTAATGGTGACCAAGAGAATGTATTCAAATGAATGTAAGGAACAAGAAGAATGCCTCTCCTTCCTTCTGCTCCAATGCTTCAGGGAGACAAGAAGGCAACACTTTAGATGGCAGCAAGAGACACTAGGTCTCCTGGAGGACAGGTAGTTTTTCATCATACTCAGAAGATGGAAAGAGGATGAATTTCTGAGGAGTCAGGGATTTAATTCAATAGATATTTATTAAGCACTTTCTGTGCGAATGGGACTGAGGCACAGTCCTTGTTTTTAAGTTCATCAGTATGTGTATGCATATACTTATATATTAATATGAGCACTATTATTTTTTAGACTACAATATACTGCTGCCTAAGCCAATCTTTGCTTTAAGTAATTATTTAATTGAATCACTATTGGACTGCAAAGTATTACACAAATTTTAAAATAAAAGTCCATGGAGTTTAGGAAGCAGATTTGGTGGATGAATTCCAGTTCTGCCACATAACACCCATCAGATGCTGGGCAATTAATTTCACTTCTATGGGCCTTATTTGTTTCCTTACATGTAAAATGAGGAGATTGAAGAACATATTGGTATGTGTATGCATATAATCATATATTAATTAATTTGAGCATTATTATTGCTTTTTCATTTGTAAAATGAGGGGGTTGAAGAAGATTGCAAAGATCTCTTTTATTTCAAAATTCTGTGGTCATTTACATTATCCTGTACACTTTAGGGTCCACAAATTCCATCTATATGACATAATTTTTGCTTAATTTGATGGTCTGATGGAGGAGGAGGGGGCTGAAGATCAGGGTTTGCCATTAATTTCCTTTCTGTCCTTATGCAGATTATTCCATCAGTTTGGGCATCAGTTTCATCATTCATAAAATGAGAGGAAGGGATAGTTCTAAAGTCTTTTCTAGCTCTAAAAAGAGCAGGGGTTCTTAATCTGCAGGGGTGGGGGTGGGGTGGCAGTCTGTAAACTTCAAAAAAAATGTCAATGATTGGTTTCCTTCATAATCGTGTTTTTTATTTTATGTATTTAAACATATTATTGTGAGAAGCGATGTATAGGCTGCATCAGACTGTCAAAGGGGTCTCCGATACAAGATAAAGAACTCCTGCTTGAGTGAGGTCACCAAGAACACGCTTTAAACCTGCACAGGTAAAAGAGAAACGACTTTTAAGACGCACACGTAAAAGGAATACGAAGCACCGATGCAGAAACAGACGCAAAGAAAGACGTACGGTGTGTTATTTCTACCACGTGACAAACAACCCCCCCCATCCACTTCCGGTTTGGTGGAAAAGAAGGCGGGCCCAAGAAGGCGGGCTTAAGAGGGGTCTTCTCAGGACACTCTTGAAGGCCCCCTCCCGGGCTGTCTCGCCATTATCCAAACGCAAATTTTTATTCACCCACTGCCTCTTGTTTATCAGGAAAGGATAATTATCTATACAGAGCTTCTGTGTTTTTTTGAGAGTGAGGCTTTTGCCCTTCGCTTACGTTTTCGCCCTTTTCTTGACATTGTAGTTAGGCACCCTGGCGGGCAGCCCTCGCCCTGACTTGTAAGGAGCCTGCTAAGGCCCGCCTTCTTCCTTTCCGCCGGCTCCGCCATATTGCAGGTACACGGGGCTCGCGCGGCTCCCGCTTCGCGGCGTATTATTTCCTTTCCAGGGAAGCTTGGGAGAGAGAGTTTGAGGCAGGTTAGGGTGGGCGAGCTCGGGAGAAGGGCGCCGGGGAGAATTGGGGCGTCCGGGGCCGGGGGCAGCTTTGTGAGAGCCTCGGGGCCTAGCGTCGGCGGGGATGGGAGAGGCGGCGAGGCCGCGTTGCTCCTGGGGGCCGTAGCGTGGGGCGAAGATGGAGCGGGCTGCGGAAGCGGCCCCCTGCACCATTCTTTGCCTCTCGCTCGCCTCCACCAGCCGGCAGCGGGGGGCCTATCTGAGCCGCTCCGAGGACGAAGGGATACTGGGTGGTGAAGCACAGGAGGGAGGAGCGTGCTGGAGGCATTGCAGGGGCGTAGTGGGTGTTCAGTTAGATTCTCATTGCATCGGGAAGGAAGCGTGGTGCAATGGAAGATACCCTGCATCTGCTGTGTCTCATTTCTCTCCGGTGCTTCTCTCACCTACATTTGATACACACTTAAAAAGTTAATGGTCGTCGTTTCTTTCCTTTGTAAAACCAGTGACTGGCACAGCTCATTATGCACTTGTGTGCCTTTAAAGGGTTCGAATTGAATTCGAGCCTCAGCTTCGGATTTTTCCTCCCCGAACTTCAGTTTACTTATTTGTAAAGTTAGATTGAGACATATCCTGCCTTTCTAATAATGATATTGTGAAGATTAAGTTAGACCTTAGGTCAAAGTGCTATGGAAAACTTGACCTTCTATAGTGTGTATTTGTCTTGAGGACAGGGTCTGTCTTTTGTAGGGCTTAGCACTGTGCATGGCTCATAGAAGATACTTAATAAATGTTGATTGATTGATTGATTCAATTAATTAATCCTACCTGTGGAGGATCTAGGGAGCAAACCTCTTTTTTCCTAGAATAGTGAACCAAGTGACTCAGTGTGGATAGAGTTCTGGACCTGGAGTCAGGAAGACTCATTTTCTTGAGTTAAAGTCTGACCTCAGATACTTAATACTTTGTGACCCAGGCAAGTCACAAGTTTTCTCATCTGTAAAATGAAGTTGCACTTGATGAGTTCTATGATTCCCAGTTAACTAAGGGAATGAAGTGACTAGCCAAGGCTTAAATTAGGCATTTTAATAAATTGGTCTTAATTTTTACACATATCAGCAACTTTGAACATGCTTCTTAGCATTTTTTGTAGTTTCATGCTTTGTTTTTGAGATTTAGTGTACAGCTTAAAAGATAACATGTAGTCTTTGTTTTTTCTATTGGACAGGTACTAGGAAGAAAAAACCATTTTAATGCTAGGTTTTCACAGTAAATGATACGTTTAATGGAGTATGTAAAGTTATTTTTGTTGAAGTAGTTTTCAAGGTGTAATAAACTAATATTAGAGTAGTTTGTTCTACTTAAATGCTCTAAATTTTTGAGTAAAGGATTTTGACAGATATGTTACTTTGTCTTAAGCAAAGCTTCGTTACCCAGTGAGGGTCTAGCTAGTTATATTAATTCGATTAACTCCATATACATGGAATAGATACAAAGCCTTCTCGGTAACTTAATTTCAGACATGTAGTTAGTAATTTAGGGAGAGAGAGACTGGTAATAATTAAGGGGGATCAGAAGGTGTTATTTGATGCATGAGGAGGCAACTGAACTCTGAAGGAAGCTAGGGATTGCAAAAGGTGAGGGACAAGATACTTAATATTTATGAAGTGTTTTATATGACCATGTCATTAGATAATCAGAACAGTTCTTAGCTGTGTACTACTGGGTACTATCCTTGTTTTACAAATGAGAAAACTGAGGTTCAGGTTAGTGAAGTTGACCGTGGTCTGACAAAGGTTCATAGGCAAAAATCAAGCTCAAGGGTCCTGACTACAAGTCCAGCTCTCTTTCTACTACATTACTCTAATATAAATAAGTTAGAATGTATCTTTTTTTTTTTAATGAACTTAAGTAGTTTAACTTTCATGAGCCTCTTTATTCATTTGTAAAAGTTGGGAGAAGTGTTTGTTTAAATTCCTGGAAGAATTAATTATCAGTAATAATCCCTAGGAATCAAAACTCCCCTGTAAGTTCTCCCCCCTCCCACCTGAACAGAAACAGAAACACCACCTGCACAGAAAATCTTAGAATTAGTGGGTGATTATAGTTTACATTTACACAAACTTTTACAATTTATAAAGCTGTTTGCTCACAGTTATATTGGAAAAAGCACTGTGTGACATTGGGCAAATGATTTGCTCTCCCTGGGCCTCAGTTTCCAAAGAGTGTTAGAATAGATGGTCTATGAGATAGGTAATACAAATACTCTTCTGTTTTACAGCTTATGCAACTATGGTTGGAGGGGTTAAATGAGTGGTACAGGCATGTAACTGCTCTTAACTCTGGCCTTTGTTCCAAAACAGGCTGATTAATTTAGTAGAAAAAAATTTTCATTATTTTGGTATTGCTATTAGAATACATAATACTTGCAGCTTGGTTGTATGTTTGATACTGTCTGGTGACTACATGTGTATGAAATAACATCTTGTCCGTGCTTGTTGCAGTGAGTTGCCAAAATGACGAACACAAAAGGAAAAAGGAGGGGGACACGATACATGTTTTCTAGGCCCTTTCGAAAACATGGTAAGTAAATAGTACTAGATTATAAATTGGGCACAGATTAATTTATATGCTTAGTGCATAAAGTAAAAATTTGGACTCTAGGCTTATGTATTGATCAATGTCTTATTTTGAAAATTGAGTTTAAAATGGCTGAATTTTAATTGGAAGAAAGGTAGTGGTGACTGAACATTAGCTTTATTTTAGAGATGCATTGGACCACTAGGAAGACTGAAGCTCCCTTTTTTAAAAAGTGTTCCTTGAGTTTGTCCATTTGAATGAGACTGGGATCTTTAGATGCTTTGAGGTTATGAAAGTTTAACTGTAAGAATTCAAGTATTTTCTTCTGAGATATTTTACCTTGAGACTGTGGAAATGTTTTTTTACAGGTGTTGTCCCTCTTGCTACGTATATGCGAATATACAAGAAAGGTGATATTGTAGATATCAAGGTATGTTGTGAAGTTTGGTACATTGACTTCTGCTTACAAAAATGTAAAGTTTGATTTGACCCTAGTATTTGTTGAATAAAGATGTTTACTTCCAACATGGAAGCTGTTATACTGAGGAGGTCCTCTTTCATTTCTGTCTTATTCCCTTACTGTGTATACTTCTGGCAAGTTCCTTAATCTCTCCAAGCCTTAGTTTACACATCTGTGAAAAGGAAATAATAGTAGCACCTACTTCAGGAGATTATTGTGAAGATCAAATTAGATCATATATATGAAGTGCTTTGTGAAACTTAAGGTAGGTAAAAAATTCAACTATTATCTCCTCCTCATTGGTTGTACTCCCTTTAACAAATTGTACTGAAGCAAGCTTGGAGCTTTGGTAATGGGAGGTGGGATTTCAATTTACTGTGCTTATTTTTCCTTAAAATTGATAGCAATATAAAAATCCATTGAGAAGATATATTTTAGTTTTGTCTATTATTTGGTTTACATGTTAACACTCGAGCTTGATGATGATTGTCTTATATGAGTAAAATGAAAACAACTTCACCGGCTCTGAAAGCTCATCTAATTACCATAGAATCTTCTAAAATTAATCACCATTACTCATGCTAAATAAAATTTTATGATTTGAATGGGGATGAGTAATTTATATTTAAGTGCTATACATTTTCCCCCTCTCTTCCTTCCAGGGTATGGGCACGGTTCAGCAAGGAATGCCCCACAAATGTTACCATGGCAAGACTGGACGGGTCTATAATGTTACTCAACATGCTGTAGGCATTGTTGTAAACAAACAGGTTAAGTAAGTAACTTAAAAGTATTCTCTTAAAAAGTTGGTAATGCTAATGTATATCCCCCTCTTTCACTTTGCCAATTAGACACTTATCATGTCTTTATTGGTCATTCAAGTGGGGCAGAAGAAAAATCCTTTTAAAACTCAAGCAGACTGATTGTTTGTCTTGTATCCTGTCAGAGGAAACAATCTGAAGTTGGCTAGAGCTATATTTCATTGTATGATTCTTCAATATTATACAGTTATAAATTGGTCATTGTGGAGATGTAAACATCATGTGAGTTCCACCTGTAGGTTGTGTGATGCTGTGTAAATGCTTGCTTTCTCCAGGCTTCAGCTGCTTCACCTTTTTGCATACTTGGACTTAATGATTTTATCTTCCCTGAGGCAAGGGTGTAGACTAGAGAATTTCTTAGATACCCTTCCAACTCTAACATCTGTGATTCTTTAAGATGGTAAGAAAGTCAAAGAATTGTATTCCAGATGTCATGGAAAGCTGTGATGAGCAAAGGAGAGAGGAGGCCAAAAAGAGTAGTTATGTTCAGGAAATAAGTGTTTAGCTGGAGTATAGCCTAAGAAGTTAAGACTAAATGGAGGAGGACTGACTAAGCCAAGAAGGTTCCATTTAATTCCATTTAATTTTGTCAGCACTAGGCAGCTATTTATCAAGAGAATAACATCATCTGGCAGTCTGTTTATGACTGATTAGAGAAGGTAGAGAGTAGTGGGGGCAGATCGATCAATAATGTTTATAATAATAGTTTCTGTTCAAATAAATATTTTGGCACTAAATGGAAGACTAAGCAATGTTTTATTCTAGGGGCAAGATTCTAGCCAAGAGAATTAATGTGCGTATTGAGCATATTAAGCATTCCAAGAGCAGAGATAGCTTCCTGAAGCGGGTAAAGGAAAATGATCAGAAGAAGAAGGAAGCCAAAGAAAAAGGCACTTGGGTTCAACTGAAGCGCCAGGTAATGGATTCATTTAAAAAGGTTGATTGAGAGAGACATTGTGGTAAGAATACAACTGAAATTACTGTATTATTTCCAAGTCAGAAATTTTAGAAGGCAAACTAATGATCTACCAGGTTGAAAGATCCTAGTATGTAACCTTGGGCAAATCATAACAAAACTGATTTTCTATAATATGAGGGAATTTTAACTAGACTCTAAGGTCTCTATTTTCTCTGCTGGTGAATATATGTATATGTGCTAAATAGTTGCTCACTAGTTTGACATTTGAAGGAAGGGAAGCTTTTTTTTTTTTTTTTTTTTGCCTTGTTCATTCCAATTTAATATGTAATTCTTAAATGCTTAATTTTTTGCAAGGCATATTGTGCTACAGAGAGGCAGGACTTGTTGATTTACCTAGTCATGTGACAATTGTGTAAGTAATCACTTAGTGTAAATATTTTCTGGTTGATTTAGAGGAGAGAATTTGCATAGTTTTCCTTTAGAAAAAACCCTAATTTTCATTCTTTTTTTTTTTATTAATTTATTTTAATTTATCAACAGTCACTTCTATAAGCTTTTGAGTTTTAAATTTTTTTCTCCTTCTGCATGATGGCATGAAATCTGATGTCGGCTATACATATACATTCCTATTAAACATTTTCACGTTACTGATGTTGTAAGGAAGAATTAGAACCAATAGGAGGAACCACAAGAAAGAAAAAACAAAACAACAAAAAAATAGCAAATAGTATGCTTTGATTTGCATTCAAACTCCATAGTTCTCTCTTTGAATGTGGATAGCATTTTCTATCATGAGACCTTTGGAGATGTCTTAGATCCTTGCATTGCTGAGAAGGCTAAGTCTATCAACATTAATCATCGCACAACATGGCTGTTGCTATGTACAGTGTTCTCTGGTTCTGCTCACTTCACTCAGCATCAGTCCATACAAGTCTTTCCAGGTTCAACCTATCATTTTCAACCTTAGTTTGGCTGTACTCCAGAATATCTTCAGTTATTTCAAGGACATGTGGTATAGGTCTTAAAATAGTTCAGATTCACTAGATGAAGAATGTGAAATGTGCCCTAAAGTCCTTTTGGAATAGGGAGAAAAGCACCAGTTCTATAGCAACAAAAGTTAAGTGGTATGCATTTCAAAGTGGTTGTTCGGTGCCTTAAGTTCATCCTTAACTTTTTCCAGAATTTAACTTAGTTTGACAGAATTTTCTCTTTATCAGGTAAACAAATCTGATATTTTGGCTTTGTAGATACCGTGTGGCAGGTCCCAAAATGACCAATTTCAGCTTAGTAGGATGCCATATTAGTTTGGTTTAGGCTTCTCCCTAAATTTAATAACTGTTACATGATACATTAAAATTGATGTGCCACAATGATGATCCTCTTAAATGATTGCCTTTAAAGAAGGAAAATGAGTATGTCATTTCACCGGTTCTGAGAGCACATTAAAGTATTTTGCTGCAAGATGTTAAATTAGCTTCACTGTTATGACCTGCCCCCCCCAACTTATTTTTCAGCCTGCTCCACCCAGAGAAGCGCACTTTGTGAGAACCAACGGCAAGGAACCTGAGCTGTTGGAACCAATCCCCTACGAATTCATGGCATAAATGGCTGTAAAATAAAAACAATAAAAAATTCTTGGGTTATGGAAGTGTCTGGCTTTTTTTGTAGCCTTTGGGTAGAAGTGGTATTTTAGTAAGTTTTGGTTTTTTTAGCTTTTTGATGAGGCATTTAGGGCTAAGTGACTTGCCTACAGTCACACAACTAGTAAGTGTCTGAGACAGGATTTGAACTCAGGTCCTTTTTACAACCAGACTGGAGCTCTTTGGACTGTGCTACCTAGCTGCCCCTTTAGTAAGTTTTTAAGTTTTAAACTGTGGTTGGTAATTACTTCATTTGGCAAAGGAGTTGCTGGAATTTTCTTCTCAGGTAAAGGAGTTACAAAGTTACAAATATTTTTCGGTTAAATTTATTACTGTACTAAAATGTATGTTCTACAGAAATTATAGCTAAAGAACAGTTGGTTCCTACTAAATTTATTATTAATCCATGTTCAGACAAGTAGAATAAGGAAGACTTGTTTTACCAATTTGTCTAAAACCTTTTGGGGAACTTTGCTCTTTAAAAAATCTTTTCAGTATCTTATTTTTGTGCTCAGTTGCAGTTCTGACACTAAAAAGGTAATAAAGCAACCAGCAACCTTTTCTATTTTAATGATATGGTTAATTTGAAACTAGGGATCCTTTTACTTCAGATGCCTTGCAAAAACCTTTTTGAAGCATATTGTGCATGCATTAGTCTCTGGGAACTTTAAGAGATTTTATACATTTACTAGACTTGATGCTTCATACCTACCTTGTAATGGGAGGTAATATAAATAGTGCCTTTCTGGTTGCAGATGAGGAAAAAAATCTTGAGGTATGGTTTGCCTGAAGCAAGATTTAAAACTAGGTCTTCACAGAGTACAACAAATATTTGGTGCCTGGGAATACGTGGCTGAAAAATTCTTAATTTTCCTTGGACTTTCCTGCTGAAAAGTTTAGTTGGCACCTGAAATCATCAGGAAGCAAACAGGATTTTAAGGCAAAGTTGAGAAAGTGCATGGCAGGGCAGCAAAGGATAAGGAGGCAGCCATAGCATGCTATGTTAGGACAATTGGTGGAAGTTAGGTTAAACTTCCTTAAAGGAGTATTGTGAAGTTAGGAAAGGTAGGCTGCAGACATGTTGTAAAGGAGTTAAAATGCCAAGTTCATTTAGTGCTTGCTTCTGGAGTCATTGGAGGTGATACAATGAGGGGGTTTAGTGGAGGGCTATACTTGGGACTTAGACATGAATGAGTCCAGATCCTACCTCAGGTTCTGTGTGGTCTCAGCTTCAAGTTTCCCCATAGGTAAAGTGGAGCTGTAGTGTCAACTTCATGGTGGTTCTGAGGGTTGATATTAAAGTTGCCTTTTGAGAGCCTCCAGTCCCTCTAGCTGACTTGTAACATTTCAGGCCATTGGATTCTTAAACTCTGAACTCTTCACGTAAAAGTCAAGGAGCCTGTTTTCCTCATCCATTATAAACTCAAAGTGATGGTGCCTAGGTTCATATCATATTCGTCAGCTAGTTTAAAGGCAATGTAGTTTTAGTGGAAGGAACGCTACGTAATGAATACAGTATGATAAGGGCAAAGAATTAACGAATTTGGAATTGTAGGTAGGACTTGCTTGAAGCATGGCCATGTCACTACCCATGTGACCTTGAGTAAGATACTTTTGGCTCTTGGTTTCCTTATCTGTAAAATGAACTGTTCAAGCAGAGCCTGGACAATCACTTGGGTATGTCAGTGGAGATTTCTTTCATGTATGGTCTTTACTGGATGGTTGCCAACAACCCTTCCAGTTTTAAAAATGAAGTGATTTTGAGAAGTTAATTAGTCTTTCAATGTTTTCATCTCTAGACCTGTTAGCCTGTGATTCAGAAGAAAATTAGGCTCAGATCCTTTATCTGATACTGATTGAACAAGAATAATTTATCTGAATCTCAGTTTCCTCATCTGTAAGATGTTGAGTGGGTTATGAAGAGCAAATGAGAATTAAACAAAGTGGTTTAATTAGAGTGCTATATAAATGACATCTATAATTGGTTGGACTCTGGTTTAAGGTAGTAGTTCTTGTTAATTTTTCTACCTTCTGAAAGGTGAAACCTGGAAAGTAGATTCAGAATTCATCAGCTTCTCTTTTAACATATCGCCAGCAAATGTCTTGAAATTTGAAGTATCTATCACAATTATGCTTTTGCGCCATTTTCATTGATAACATGAACTTCCCCCCTCCCATGACCTGGCTGTCTTAGTATATATCCGTCACTTAAACAGGTGCATCTGTTGCTTCTATTGATAAATATATTCCTCCTCCCCAGCCCTAGATTTCATGGTTTCTTGACACAAAGGTACAATGCCATCTTTCTGTCCTTTCTAAATTTTTTGAACTATCAGTCTTACGTATTTTCATAATCTTTGTTTATGTAAAAAAATTTTTTTATGCCAACTGTATGTAAGTTACTATGTCAAGAAGCACACTAAAGTGCATGTCCTAAAGGAACTTACAATCAAATAGGTAAATGCCATGTATACTTAAATACAAAACAATGAAGCATGCTACAAAAGGGAAAAGCAATGCTTTAGAAGTCCTCCCCACTCCCATGTCTCCAGCAGTTAAAATATATAGTTTGTTGGGGATATTGTAGAGGGGAATTCTATCCAGTTTAGAATAGATAACCTCTTGGTCATTTGCAACAAATTCTATGTCTCCCCTCATGAAGCCTTTCCTGATATGCCTTGCTCATCTTGTACTCTTCCTGAAGTAATGCTTTGAATTCTCATAGCTCTTTGTACCTCTCTTGTACTCTGATTTGTATTGTATTTGATAGAATCACAAAATTTTAGAGTGGAAAAGGCTTTGGCAGCTATGTAGTCCAACCCATATCTGAAAGAAATCCTCACTATTATCACACCTGATGAGTTGGTCACCCAGGTCTTCTGTTTGAAGACCTACAATAACAATACTAACTATAGTTCCGCTTTTGAACTGCTCTAATTGTTTGGATGTATTTCCAGAAATCAACTCTAAATTTGCTTCTTTGTAACTTCCCACTTTTCCTGGTTCTGCCTTTCAGGAGCTAGACATAACAACCTTTTCTACTTAACAGCCGTTCGCAGCTAGCATATCTTTCTTGACTTTTCCCTAAAATAAAAGAACCCCGATCCTTTCAATTGATCTCATATGACATGAACCCAAGAGCCTTCACCATAACAGCTTAGCCAAGCCCTTCTTAAAATGACTTCCAGAAATGTTACTATTTATCTTTAATATTAAATAGCCAGCTGCGGAGTTCGAAGGAGAGAGGAAAAAAAGAAAGCAAATACTTTGTCAACTGGTCATCATTCCCTGTAAGATCTTTGATGGTAAGCCTCCTTTATCTATGTAAACCCCATAGTCCCTTAGGGCAGGTAATTGGCACAGTGGATAGGACTCCAGATCAAATCTGGCCTTAGACACTTAAAAGCTGTGTGACTCTAGGCAAATCACTTAACCCTGTTTGCCTCAGTTTCTTCACCTGTCAAATGAGCTGGAGAATAAAATGGCAAACCACTCCAGTATCTTTGCCAAGAATACCCCAAATGGGGTCATAAAGAGTCAGACGTTACTGAAATGACTGAACAACAACAAATAGTTCCTAACAAAAAAAATGTCTTGCGTGTTTAGTAGATATTCAAAACTTTATTAAATCAAAATTCTGGCGAATCCTGACAAGCAGAGATATTTTGGCCTAAATCATTCTTCAGATGGAAAGAATGTCATGAGTCTATGATGTTCATTCAATGCTATCAAACTAGTAAGGAAGCAGTAAAGCCTAGAATGTATTCAAGGAATTTCTTGAATTATCTCTTTATTCTATTAGGCCATAGTGTCAAATCAGTTATAATTAGATATGAAGTATTTCTTGTTAAAATGAATTCTCCAAAGAATCCATTTGAATTATCTTAAAATGCAGTTCTGTTATGTTGACTGTTGGTTTATGTGCTCAATGAAACATTTTGTTTTCCTTCTCTCTGCCTCCCCCTGCCCCAACAAATTTGGAAGTAATTAAAAAATGAATCAACATTTGAATAAATAAACCTAATAACCAGTCTGAAGAACTTCTAAGGCCCTTTGTAGAAGAAATGACAATTCTAAATAAATGAATTTAGGTTTAGTTTATTTACAAATAGATCCTCAAAAACAAAGATGGCCCTAAGGTTTTGAAAGTACACCTTACATCTTCATAGACCTTCAGCTTCTCCAGGTCCTCTTTTTTCATTATTTGATCTTTTCAGGATGACTTCCCTATAGGAAAAAAAGAAATCAGTGGAGGAATCATATTAAAAAGCAACTTCCTCTCATTTACCTTTTAAATGAGAAATCTAAAGTATTTGGCTGTACACTTCTGTCATTTAAAAGTTTATTTTAATTTTTCAATTAAAAAAATTAATTTGTTCCTTCCATGACTTTCCATTCCCCTCTGAAAACAAAGCCATCAAAAATACGTAGTTGCATAGTCTGGCAAAACAAATTCCCACATTAACCATGACTGAAAACATATGTCTCTTGCAGTGTGTGTATGTCTTATTCCACATTCTGAGTCCTTTACCTTTCTATCAAGAGGTGAATAGCATGTTTTGTCATTAAATCCTCTGGAATTATTACTGGTCATTTTGCTGATTGGACTTCATAAGTCTTTCAAAGTTGGTTTTACAACATTATTATATAAATTGTTCTGTTTCTGCTCACTTCCCTCTGCATCAGGTCATATAAGTCTTCTCAGGTTTCTTTAAAACTAACCCCTTCAAAATTTCTAAAAGCATAGTAGTATTCCTTCATATTGTTTATCTATTCCCCAATTGATGGACGCCCCTTAAGTTTTCATTCTTTGCTACCTTGAAATTAGCTAAAAGTATTTTTGTATACATCCTTTGTTAGATTTTGTTTTACTTATAAACTAATTCCCTACCTAGGTGGCTTAGTGGATAGAACACTGGGCCTGGAGTCAGGAAGACCTGAGTTCAAATCCAACCTCAGACACTTAGCTGTGTGACCTTGGACAAGGCACTTAACCTCAGTTTGCCTT